GCCAGCTCTTTTCATAGAAGTGCCCGTGCAGACTTTCGGGCATGGCACGAAAAAATAACTGAACCAATTGGGGCTCAGTAACCCCATGGTCAAGGATGGCGACTAGTTCGTCCAGGGCACCCTTGCGTGCTCTTGCACTCTTCCATGGTTTGCAACTTGTCAGAGGCCTTGAGGCCCCTAGTATCATCCGCAAACCAATCTCGAAGGGCTTTGAGAAACTCGCTTACAAGTGTGATAACAACGTATGCTGCCATATCATTATCACACCTGGCGGCACGGGCAAGCGATGGCACGAAAGAATAACTAAACGAATTGGGGCTCAGTAACCCCATGGTCAAGGATGGCGACTAGTTCATCCATGGCACCCTTGAGTGCTCTTGCACTCTTCCATGGTCGATAGTGGATGGTTTGCAGCTTGTCAAAGGCCTTGAGGCCCCTAGTAACATCCGCAAACTAATCTCAAAGGGCTTTGAGAAACTCGCTTAGAGGTGTGATAGGAAAGTATGCTACCATATCATTATCACACCTTCTGGCACAATCTGGCGAAGTTGGATGCTTCCTCCCTAAGGGTGTGGAAGGTGACGAGGACTTGTTCCTCGAGGATGATATCCTGGAGGTGCACATAGGAGTTAATGTTTGCCTCCGTGTTATTGAAGTTCTCTCCCTTTTTCCCACTGTAGGGATCGGGGAATTTCACCTTTACGCATTCCTTGCGTGGGCCTGCTTCCTCCTCCTTTGGGGCTGCTATCTTGGCGGCTTCTATGGCACCGATACAAAATTTATGTATCGCGCCTGCACTTCTGTGCACAAGCACATCATCATACCACGTGCAAAGTCTTTGAACCATAAGCGTATGGATTGCAGGGCAATATCATGGCCCCTCAAATGTCAGAATTGCTCTTGTTGAGCCCTCAACATGACCTCTATATTTTGGGACATGAGTTCCACTTTTGCTTGGAGGTCTGCTTGTTCTCCCATTTGTCCCCTCCTTTCTGCAGCCACCCTCAACTCCTCCATTTCGTTTGCCGCCTCCATTCGCCTCCTCCTTCCACTCAAATATATTCTCCTCGTCCATGGTTTGACGACGCAAGGGATTTTCCTCTTCCTGCAATTCCCTTATTACCGCCTCCCTGTCCACCTGGGGAACAGACGGCATAGCTTCCTCTTCTTCCCCCAACGACAGATTGGCTACCCACTCGGTCACCATCTTCTCCAACCTTTTGTTTGCTTCCTTCGTGCCACTTGACTCCCCTGTTCCTTCTCTCCTCACATTTCTCTCTAATGGAGTCTCTTCTTCTTCCTCTTCTTTTTCTTCTTCTTCAACGGCTGCCGCAACTGCTGCTGCTTCTTTCTGTAGCCTTTTTAACTCATCTTCCAACTCTTTTTCCTTCTTGGCCTTTTGGCTTTCTTCTCTGCCTGAATCTTTGCGGCCTCTTCCTCCTACTCCTTTGTACAAGGAGTGGTCGTTGTACCACCCCTCATTAGGACTCCACACAAAAACGTGTGCCAAAAACCTAAAGAAAACAGGAGATGCCGAAGGGTCCCCCAGGATGTCTACAAAAGACTTCACTGCTGACCAGGAGGCACTTAAGGAGAGATCCCCCATAACTCCTCAGTAATTCTTTAACGTCGCAGACATGACGACGTGATCAGCGAAGTCCTCTCAAGACTTACTTACACAGCCGGTTGTGCAGCCCACAACTCGGATTTTGGGCCAACCATGCCACACTGAGCAGGCCGCCGGTATGTATCGGTCCTTGGGAGGGTTAGGCCTTCGGGACATGCCAATCGTCAGACATGGACAGCTACCCTACTTAGCTTGTGTGGGTTTGGTCAACGCAGCTCTATGACCTCATACACAGAGTCCTATCACCTGGACAAAAGTGACACGATGCAGAAAGAAGAAACAAACAGACTCTGCAAGTACACACACATAGGGTTGGGGGTAGGCTGAAGGCTTGGCAAGATTGTACCATCTCCAGCTTGGTCAAATTCGTAGTCCACAGCTCCGATCAACACTGGTCAATGACCGATCAAACTTGGTTAACGCCTTGGTCAACCCCACCGATCAACCCTCCAAGCACCCGGCTATGACTGTCGATAACCTTCACCTTTCTCATTCTCCCCCTTCTCTCTTCTTCGCTCCCCGCTTTCCGCTTTTTCTCCCTTACTTCTCTCCTTCCTCCCGATTTCTCTTCCTTCTTCACTTTCTTCAACTTTGTCTTTGTCACTCCCGGTCCCCTTCGTCTTATTCAACCCCATGTCCGAGCTCGGCAGCTATGGCTACCACGGTTCACCTTCAGCTACAACAACCAATCTTGAAGCGCTTGCCTCTCTCTCTCTCTCTCTCTCTCTCTCTCTCTCTCTCTCTCTCTCTCTCTCTCTCTCTCTCTCTCTCTCTCTCTSTGTTGKCGTCCTTCTCTTCTTTCTTCCTTATTGTCGTTGTTTGCAGGTACAGTGGCGGTCTCCTTCAGCGAGGTCTTCTCCAGCCGTCGGGGTCTTCCTTCCTCAGACGCGGCTACCTTCAACGGCTCTTTGGCAGGGCCAAGTAGCAACGGGCTCGTGCAAACACAACAGCACGCAGCGGCCAATGAAGCACGCGCGATTAGAAGGGCACGCGCAAACAAAGTGGGTGCATGGGAAAACGGAGGGTGCGCTCGGCAGGCAGCGTGCGGCAACAGCGACAATCGGCGGAAGTCTAGCGTGCAGATTTTGGCACGCGATCTACCTATCGGGCCGCGCGATTACGATGGCGCGCAGCGGGATCAATGCCCGTGCAGCTAGAACAACAGAGCGCGCGATGCAGCACAGCACGCAATATCGATAAGCGAGCGAACTTGTCTTGGCCGGCTATGGCCGACCCGTGCACTCTCAACCACTTGTTCGTAAAAACACACTGGATCTCCTTGTCCCGACACACACATACACACTCAACTCTCTCTCACACTAACACCCTACTGGCATGCTGACGTGGCGGCTCTGGCCGTTATCTATCTCCTACTACTAACACCTTCGGCCATGGCCAATCTTCCTCCCTCTTAGCCCTCCACTATTACGATGGCGCGCAGCGGGATCAATGCCCGCGCAGCTAGAACAACGGAGCGCGCGATGCAGCAGAGCACGCAATATCGATAAGTGAGCGAACTTGTCTTGGCCGGCTATGGCCGACCCGTGCACTCTCAACCACTTGTTCGTACAAACACACTGGATCTCCCTATCCCGACACACACATACACGCTCAACTCTCTCTCTCACACTAGCATCCTACTGGCATGCTGACATGGCGGCTATGGCCGTTATCTTCCTCCTACTACAAACACCTTCGGCTATGGCCAATCTTCCTCCCTCTTAGCCCTCTACTCCACGGGCACCTGCAGACCTCCTTGCACAAAACGCTCAGGCAGCGCTTCCGCATGGCTCACAGGCAGAATGAGTGAATGGCATGACGCTGCCTCTTGATTTATACTTCCGATAGTCAATGGTCTGCGCTTGGGACTCCGGACCCGGGGTGCACACAGTCCCACATGGTACTTGCTGACTTGACAAAGTGCGACTGGGACTGGGTACCGCTGACTGGGCGGAGTTAGTCCGCCGCACTTGCCCACTGGCCTACGAGGGGTCAGTTCCAGGCCTTCCGAAAGATTGTAGACTTGACCCTTCAGTACTGTAGCAGCTACAACTTGACCTTTCAACATTGTAGCAGCTACGACTCCTACCCTTGCTAAGAGCTATATCCTACAGACCTACGGTTCAAGACCCGATGACCATGCTACCTACAGCAACAAACAGCGACTTTCAAGACACAGGTTGCGGGTTCAAGCACACACAGGTCGACTGTTACTGGACATGGGTAACGGCGAGGTCTGGGGATCGAGCTCTGGGAACTGCGACTGCTACCACAAAGTGAAAACCGTTTCAGCCAGCATACACCAGTTAGGTGCCTCCCCTCCTCTCATCAACCCTCGTCTCCCCACAGTGTGCATCCCGTAAACCCGAAGACCACCATCACCCACACCGGTCTCTGCACGCACAGCCCTGCTATGGCCGCCGTCCGCCCACTGCCACTGCAGCGCCCTTCTCACCTCATGCGCCCGCCGCGCAGCATGCTTTGCGAGACCAAGCAGCAGTACGGCCGACATTTCTGCTCAGGCCAGAATGAATCCCCTGCCTGGGTGCTGCACTCACTTTCCTACATGGAAGTGGGCCCGCTGGCCAGTGCATGCACAGCATGCTTCAGGAGACAAATCAGCAGTATGGCCGCCTTACCTCCTCAGGCCAGAATGAATCCCCAGCCTGGGCAATCACTTTTGTGTATGGTAAGTTAGCGTCGACTCTGTCTGGGCTGGGCCTGGCGTGCAGGGACCCAGTAGCTTAACATTGGACCAAAGTGTCTGCTTCCAGGCCCATTCAGACAGTTGCCTGGGATGCAGTTTCAAGGTGCGTCCAACCACCCCATCGGCTTGTGACGTGTTCCTTGCTTCCTGATAGGCCGAGAGGCCATTCTCCACGTCCAGGCACAGGGGTACCTAGAAGATTCCTAGAAGATGCTGATTCTCACGAGCAGGGCTTGTGTAACCAACTGGTGTGTGGTAACTATCAGGGGCCCAACGAGGCAGAAATGGCAAAAAGAATGGGGACCCCATGTCGAATTCAGGCCCGCCTTCACTTATGGCGGGCACAATACTTGCTGGGGGCCCTTGGGAAGTGGCAGGTCGCAACCAAGCGGCCTATGTGCGGGCTAGTTCCTCACACGATACACTATCCACAGTTAAGGGCCATGCACTACCTCACTCTTCCTACTTTCCTGCACACTGCCCATGTACATGGGCTGGGCAAATATTGGGATGGCTCAAAGAAAGTCACCAAAAGACGGATCTGTGTGAGATCCCAGCACCTTGACAACAACCAGCTAGATCAAATCCCCAAGGCAAAGGTTTTCAGGAAGCTTCTGTGCATCTCAACAAGAAGTTATAAAAAGATGGGGATGGAGATTTGTTTACCTGAAGAGAAAAAATTGTGGAGTCCGAGACACTATGAATACCACCAAGGTCCAGTCGCACAAGGTTTCGAAGACCAGCCAGCTGCATTGCACCACTGCCACTGACAGAAGTCTCCGCAAGGCTTAAAGAATCCAAATTCTGCAATGCCAGAAGATGTGGAATGGCATCATCGCCAACACGAGGGCAGTGGGAGAGATCCAAACTCTCCAGCCGCGTAAGGGCTGATCAGCAGGTATCAGCAGATAAACAAAATACATAGTGAAGTCGTTATTCATCTGATAAGAGGGCAGCAAAACATTCCGAAGAAGTCAAAGTTACCTAATGCGAGCAGATCCTCTTATTTCCACCATCTTTTGATTGTCCAAGCTTAATGATATTCATTATATTATCATCCATCTGACATGATAACAGCAGAATTTACTAGCTCTACCTCGTCCTTCTGGAGTTCTAAGCAATCTGGTACAACAAGATTCACTTTCGACATATGGCAAATAACATTCCAGGAACATAAAAGTACTCCGATGTAGTCCCATGAAAATTGCAAGGAAGAAAGTTGCCTTCTCTAGGAGAAAAATCCCCCCCCTTCCCAAAGAAAAAAACAGTGAACCGGCCACCAATACTGTGCATCTCCATTCTAACATGCTTTCATGATCTGCACCCTTTGACAAAGTCAGTCACAGCTCAGTGTTACTTAGCCCCGTCTAGAATAGGTCCTTTTGAAATCCTTTTACATAGCAACAACAGTTGTGGAGGACATCTAAACAGCATATCGACAGGAGAAATAAGTGGTGACAAACAAGAAACCCGAAAACAGCATATCACCACACAAGGACTTTGTCGAGTAACAGCGTAGTTCACTTCCAGCATAGGTACGTACTGACAGGAGGCACAGGTACACAACTGAGACAGCTCCAAGGGGATCAGAAAGTTGGACGTGATAGTTCAGTGGGTCCATGCATAGGTCATCTTGACTTAACTATCAAATCTGACAGCACTTCCAAAAGCACTACTTCTGTGCCTACAGATACCCTAACTCAATCTAAAGATAAGCCACATTAATCATCAGCATCACTCTTTGACTGAGAAGTACCACCACGCATCATCATGCTCAGCGGCTCCCTCCTCTTCAGCCTCCTCTCCTCGATTACATTTATATATTTGTGCTTTCAATTTCAATCCAGCGGTTCCAGAAAAAAGAAATGGACACACAGCTAACCAACAGCCATCCCACTAAGTCGCTGTCTCATCCTGTTTTTGCCTTTTGCCTCCCCCTATTCTCCACCTCTTGTTCTTTGACCTCCAGGACTTATTTGCCCTTCCTGGTTCATCCTCTGTTCCTACTTTCTTCTGCACCTCCGCTTTGTCCAGAATCATCATTGTCTACCACAGTGAGTATGTCCCCTCTTCTGCTTATCTTATCATCACTCTACCCTCCTTTGTCCTCCATATATCCTCATACTTGTTTTCTCGATTGTCTCATCCTTGCACAGGCTCCGTGCTAATCTCCTCTCTATCGTTCCAACTTTAACATCTCCACAACAAGGCTCGGCCGGCAACAGCCGGTTGAGCTCGCCCTTTCCAATCGGGAAACCGGTTTTACGAAAAAGATGCCCAAATGCTTTTTTTTTTTTTTTTTTTCGGTGGATTCCGGGTTATTAGAATATTCAGACAGAGCAAGCTTACTTACCTGAGCCCCCCATGACCCCAGAACTTCAATTCAGCACCATAAGGTATCATGGACTGGGCCATCTGACAGTGATACCCCACGAGCTTGAATGAGATATGATGAGAGGAGGTCCTTGCCAACATGCTCTTCCAGAGTATAGTTCGAACCTTTATGGGTTCAGGTTTCAGCTCATGCTGGCAGAGCGTTTTCTGTTTGTTTTGCCCTACATAAGGTGGGTCATCAGTCCGGAAGTATCTTGCCTGGCTGTCCGTCCAGATACATGTAGTGGAACGAGCTCCATTCTAGATAGATTGAGAAAAGAATTAGGTCCATTAAATTGGGCAGCTCTGACTTCACTATTCCGAAACCTGAACCCGTTTTTTTAACCCAGAGTGTAGGGCCGTCGCAGAAGCATATAATGTCAACCGAGCCACACTAAATGCATAGTGTTTCCCTCGTTGCTGAGGGTGAACGAGGATCAGGTCTTACCAATGCCAAATTGAAAAAACGGCCTGTTGGACCCGCATCTTGAAAAAAACAAGCGGCGGTTTTCGCCGCTGATCTGCAAAGATTAGTAACGGTTATCCTCCACCCATTTTACTCAAGAAATGGGGTCCAAGATGACCCAATTTCGTTTTTAAGAGGCAGTCCCCTCCTGGGGGCTGGGCAATCGCGGAGATGCCCGTCACTCCCCAGTCCTCTGAGGGTGAACGAGCATCAGGTCTTACCAATGCCAAATTGAAAAAACGGGCGTGTTGGACCCACATCATGAAAAAAACGAGCGGCGGTTTTCGCCGCTATTCTGCAAAGATTAGTAACGATGATCCTCCACCCATTTTACTCAAGAAATGGGGTCCAAGATGACCCAATTTCGTTTTTAAGAGGCAGTGCCCTCCTGGGGGCTGGGCAATCGCGGAGATGCCCGTCACTCCCCAGTCCTCCCCCCCCCCAAGCGCAATGCTGCACCCTCAACCTCATATTCACACTTGGTAGTGAAGCCGAGACACAAGAATCACACGAGAGGTTGAAACGCAAATTGTCTTTGTTATACAAAGAAAGTGTAACATGTCACCTGCGGTCTATGTCGCTCACACCGAACCAGACTCGGCCCAAGTATGTAATTGACTACTACTTCCTCTCTCTCTCTCTCTCCCCCCCTCTTGCTCTATCTGGTCTTGTATCGCTCAGCCTCATGGTCTCTCTGTTATGAACTTGGTTGTCTGACGATTTTCACCGCCACTCACACACAGACAATCTCAAACATGCCCATACATGCATAAGATGAGGGGGAGAGGAGAGAGTCCAAACTGCACACAGATTAAAGTAAGCAGCGAAACACAACCATGCACAGATGGGGGGAGAGAGACAATAATTCTCACTCTCTGACCATACTCCCAACAACCAATCAGAAGAAGACACTTGCGAGGATAACAATAGGATTTGCACTGATGATGAGCCAACTCTAACCAATTATCGTTACAGAGTTTATTTCAGTATCTCGCCACCCTCGGAACTCCACACTCCACTCTCTACCCTACACCCAGTTAGTTGCGCAACACTGAGAAGGCCTCCTAGAGGCCAGCGCCAACCGCCCAGATGAAGAACAGGTCCTGGGATGACGTCTTCAGCGCCGATGAACAACTCTGACGAGGAAACAAGCAGCTATGGCTGCCACAACACTGACCCAGCCCTAATATCTCCAGATGCGAGATGGGTGACAATGGTCCACCCACGAGTACCCAGTGAAGAGCCTTGGTCTGGCCCAGCCAGACGCAGATACCCCCAGGGGTAGATGCACTGTGGATGCCCTAGCTATGGCAACCTCCAGAAGGCTGGCTATGGCTGCCGTCCACGGTGAGGGTCTCAGGATGCCGCCTGTAGACAATCACCACCACCAACTTGCTTGGCTCACAACGCTGCATCGCAAAAATGAAAATCGCAAAAATGAAAAGCCAAAAAGTCCAACTACAGGCTCAGTCCTATTAATAGACAGCCTACTCTAGACCTAGACCTACTGGACTGGACCGGTACCGCATCAGTTTGGCCTCCTCGGCCTGGGCCCTACCCTGCTATACGACGCCTAGACCGTCTCTACAGCCCAAGGCCCAGAGGGGCCTGCTGTCCTAGTGGTAGCCCCGGGTCTGCTAAGGGCAGTAACAGCTAAGGGAACTCAGACCTGCAATTTTCGTGTAAATTGCAGATATATCCCTCACGAATTTCCCTTAGGACTGGGCCGGCGGTTAGTCCCTGACACAAACACAATTACGAAATCAGCAAGTCATTGCAGGCTTACCCTCCCGGGGAGCGAGGACCCCCAAGCTAAGGGTACAGACGAGGAGATCGGCGAGGAAGGTTCCCTTTCTGAGCCGCCTCGAAATGAAGTACTACAGACTTTGCTTTCTGAGCCGCCTCGTAACAAAGTACTACACACTTTGCTGTCTTGAGAATTCTTTCCTGGTCAACCACCTGTCCTCGGTATGAGGCTGGAAACAAAACTTTACAAGATACTGCTGGTCGGGGCCAGTGCCCCACTCGTCCTCCATGGACTCCACGTCATATCCCTTACCCGGGATCGGTGGACCAAACTGGGGGGGCCGATCTGGGAATGCATCAGTTGGAACGAAGGGAAGCAGCTTGGATGCATGGAAGACCGGATAGTCTCCGGAGAGGGGCTGGCTCCTGAAGCAACTAAGGTTGCTGCGATTCAAGACTGGCCACAACCTACCACAATGCGTGATGTCCGGTCGTTCTTGGGTCTTGCCTCCTACTACAGAAAGTTCGTCAAGAACTTTTCTTCTATTGTTGCACCCTTGACTGACCTCACAAAGAAGGACACCCACTTTCTTTGGACATCAGACTGTCCGCAGGCTTTTACACGCCTCAAGGAGCCCTTAATGCACCTGTTCTGAAGTTACCTGACCCTACCTTACCCTTCGTAGGATAGTGGGCATGGTCTGCAGCCAGTGGAGTACATGAGTAAGAAGATCAAAGTTAAGAAGTTGCAGGACTCTACATACGAGAAAGAGTTGTATGCTCTAGTGTCAGCGCTCAAGCATTGGTAACATTTCCTCATGGGCAGGCACTTCAAGATCTATTCAGATCACTTCACCTTACAATGGATGAAGACCCAAGGGGAACTGAATGACAAGCTTGCTCGTTATATTTAGTTCATTGATCTCTTTGACTTTGAACTGAAACACAAGAAGGGCTGCTACAATCATGTAGCAGACACCCTTTCTCGTAGACCTGACGCTCTCTATCCGATCTCCGCTACTCACACCTTTGGGTAGAGGACCCGTCAGACCAATGCCCAGTTACTGCCACAGGACCCGATTTTTGGCCCTATTGTTCGGAATCTGCAAACTGATCCTGCATCTGAACCAGGATACACTTTGGTTTCAGATTTGTTGTATACTTGCAGCAGAGGAGAGGAGCGTTTGTGCATCCCTCAGGACCTCCAACTGAGAACACTCATGATGTATGAGTGTCATGATGCTCACTGCCACTTTGGGGCCCTAAAATCGTTAGCATCCCTGTCGCAGCGGTTCTTCTGGC